TGTATAGGCCTGTTATGGTTCAGGGCTTTTCATCTACCAGCTGCCTGCGTGCATGTTGGAGGTGCAAAGACTCCTGAGCGTGTAATGTTAATTTTACCTGTGTTCATTGAATAAATCAGCACTGTTTTGAAGTTACTCGGACTGCTTCGTCTCTCAGAGTTAACGTGGTGAAAATAACTGGGTCCAACAGAATCAAATCTTACAATAGGTTCAGCTATTTCAGGTATCAAAATGTTCAGCTCCTCAAGGACATCTATGCTTCTATTCAGAATTTTTCTAAACTTCATACTTTTAGAATATTTAGTTTTATTTTGAAAATCTTGCCCCATTCAAATGAATTGGAAAGTTCTACTTCAGCATACTTTCAGTTAGAAAAGCCATTCAATTGTCAAAATATTCAGCACTTTCAGGGCCATCGTTCAGCGCTCAGCATGCATACGCATTTTCATCAAAAAATGCATTTCTCTAGTTTTATATATTTTTTCTTTTAATGGCCCGGCAATATGAAGCGCCGATAACACACAAACTACAAATCCCATAATGCAGCGCAACAGCTGCCTTATGGAACGATAGGCTACCTGCGATCATTCCCGCGTCAATTATGTTGGATCAGTCAAGCGTCTGTTGATGTATACAACCCTAATTTCAAGTCAAAGCTAGTCCTTAACAATGGCCAAGAGAAAAGTTGATTCTGAAAACAGAGCCTTTCAAAACTGGTGGGAGGTTGAGTATGTTTACTGATGTTGCCGGTAAACCCGTGTGTCTTATTTGTGGATTTAATGTGGATGTAATTAAGGAATATAACCTAAGACGGCACTACAAGGCAAAACATCAGGACAAGCTGAAAAACATGAAAGCAGAGCAGAAGCTACAGAAGGTAGAGGAGTTAAAGAGGAATCACAGCAGACGTTTTCACCAAAGCGAAATCACACATTGAAGCTGCTGTGAAAGCAAGTTTTATTGTGGCAGAGCCACAAATCAGCCCGGCCATTTACCAAGGGAGAGTTTCTGAAGAGCTGCATGATGAAAGTGTGTGACGTCTTGTATCCAAACAAAAAGCAGGTGTTTGCAAATGTAAGCCTTAGCAGAAATACGGTTGCTGATTTTAAGTTAAAGTTTATTTATTTTGGAATAATATTGTATCCTGTCTGTTTCGATTCATATTTATGTTCAAAAATGTTTAGTTTTAGTCTGTTCAATAAATTTTTATCTTGTTTGGCCCACGACCTAAAGTGTGCTTTGAGTTTTGGCCCCCTGTGCGATTGAGCTTGACACCCCTGCAGTAGCAGGAGCATCTGAGAGATCTGGGAAGAATTATAGATGTGAGGTGTGCAAAACCAGTGTAGCCCAGGATTTAGACTTGACTGCCAAGATGAGACTGAATGTGTCATACAGACAGAGGAAATAAGTTTTATTCCATACGAGTTCAATACCATTCTAAATATTTTACACACTTCCTTTTTTTCTTTGCCTTGTTGTGTGCCGTGATGCTCCAGATGGATATTTTTCTGTTTTTCCACAGGAGATAATGCTGCAGCGTGTAATGTCCCAACTGGCAGCTGTAAAGAAAGACATGGTGATTCTCGAGAAGAGTGAGTTCTCCACTTTACTAGCAGACAATGAGGTAAGCATGTTTATCCAGAGAGTAATGATGAACTATGGTTTCTGAAGTCATCTCCATGCATCCAACCTGCATTTGGATAGTTTGTGTCATGTCTGACAAGACAGACTTTCTGTAGTTACCTGCAGGGCAACAAAAAAGGACAAAGATGTATTATTTGCAATAAATAATTTGGTACAGATCCAATGGGAGGTTACATTGACTTCCATATTTAATAAAAAAAATAAAGAGAACTTAAATTTGACATGAACACAATTCACAGCTTGATCAGTGGTAGTTGCATCCTTTGATAAATGTGCCAGCAGTACACTGTAAAAACACTTCGCTGAAAGTAAAAACCTTAAGTTAAAGTGTGTACATATTCAAGGATGAACTGATTAGATTTTGGTGGTCAAAGATACAGTGACCTCACATCTGTGCCATACCCATGAATTTGACCAGACTGTGTAGGCATACAACAGCAGTACCTAAACAGTGGCTTTAGCAGTGGAGAGTTTTCTCACATTCAATTCTTCAGTTTATCAGAAAAATGGTTAGAGTACATATACAGTGCCTTGCGAAAGTTATACTTTCGCAAGGCACTGTATCCATCTGTGGGTGAAGTCACAGCATTTCCTTATTTTTCTCTTTGCTGTTGTGTTTAACGTGGCAGGACTTAAGATTTACAGTATTATAACGTCTTTCCTAGAAACTCAAGATCCAGTTGTTGCTGCTCAAAGTCCAACTGGCTGTAAGTGGATTTTCTGACTATGTCCAAATGTCACGGTGTATGTGTTCCTTTTGATGCATGTCTGAGATGATTTAGTTTGACTTGGTGTGTTTTCACCTTGCAGGATGTAATGAATAAAGTGCGCTCGGATAATATTTTGGACATGAACTTGGAAAAAAGTCTTGTAAAGGAATTGGTAAGCCTTTGATGGAATTCAATCATGGATTAATTAGCATTTGGACATCTGTTGATGGCACATTTCTACCATATTTTTGTCATTTTGAATGACACATAAAACAACTGATGAATTTTGTCATCACTGAACTGAATGTAAAATAATTTTGCCTGTATGATAAAACCCTACTAAAACAACAGTAATCCATCATTTGAATTAAACAGATGATGGAATCATGATCCCAAATTCTTCACAAGCAAACTACTGGCATTTGAAATATACAGTTTAATGGACATATGGGACAAGGAAACACTGAGTAGTTTATGTCCTGAGGGGACTAATAATTGAAATGTGCACCTAATAGGTCAGTGGCTGTAAATCACATTCCCCATGTTCCTTTTCTAAATAAATCATTATTTCAAATTTTCAGAAAGCAGAGCATGAGAAGAAGCTTCTGGAAACACGAACTGAGATCATAGAAATGGTTTGTATATGTGCAGTGCACCTGCATGTTTCCTGTCTTATGACACCTAATGTTTAGTTCATTGTCATTTACGTAATGGGCAGCCACTGAGTCATTTAGCCTGTTCCCAGTCCATGAAGGCTCCTGCCCAGTCTGCTATACATATCTGCTCTGTCTTTGGTGGAGCTAATCTTCGATGCCCGCGTCTTCCTGCCTTTTTACAGACTGCAGAGCAAGACCGTCATCTGACTCAGACCAACATGAAGACAGACACTGAAGTGGCTGGTTTGAAAACCATGTTAGAATCTCATAAACTGGATACTATAAAATACCTGGCAGGTAGGACATGGCACAGCAGTTGCGTCCTTGGACCTCGGGGTGTCAGATGATTAGCTTTTTAATGCCGCTTGTTGTTTTGGGGAAGGAACAGTTATACAGACTGATGTTTTTTGGTCAGGGATCTGAATCCTACATGCAGAACAACAACAGCAGTGAGCAACATTGTATTTATTTTCCATTTCTGAGTGGAATTTGCTTCTAGTTCAAACTTTTAAAGCACAGACCAGAGCAAGCTTTACAGTAACAAACGTCTGAGCGAATATCTAAGGGCCCTGTGGCTGTAATGATTTTTCTGTACATTTTACATTCAGGCCCAGTCGTTTTCTCTGGGGATTTGGCTGTACCATAATTTCCGTACTATAAGCTGCACCCACTAAATGTAAGATGAAAAAACATGTTGTACATAGCCGCAGGTGTCCACGTTGTAACATGAGATATTTCAACAGCCAGATTGATCGCCTGTAACTTGAAGCGTCATCATATGCATTTCGTCGTGTGTTGTCCATGATGAGGGTGTGTGCATGAAGCGACAAAAGTAGCGGCTTATAGTCCGGAAAGTACGGTAATCATTTTGGTTCATTTTAATAAAATTTTTTCTGGGTTTTAATTTTCTTTGTAATAATTTTGTCTTGGTTTTTGATTTATGTGGCTGTACATCAGCAAATGGGGATCCTAATAATAAAATCAGAGTCTGTGACCCCTATCATAGCCACTAAAGTTGACTAGACAGCATTGACAGAATTCAAACCTCAGCCAGACAGATCACTGTCCCGATAATGCCATTACACCTAAAAGCCCTATTCACATGGTAGCATGACGCCCATAATGTGTTTGCTTGACCGTGAAAATCTACCCCTATTTGCAACCACGTTAATATCATTATTAGTTTAAAAGCTATTCACGAATAACAGTATTTCAATAATGGAAGTTTTCTTCAGGTTGTAGCTTAGTAACCTTTGAGACCTGTTGACACCTGCTGAATCATGAGAGTTTCAGCTAGAGTTTGATCTTGGTTCAAAGTCTGTTGTGTCGCCGTAGCCAGTTTTTTGTGAGCCCTTTAAATGGGAACACTCTGGACCAGCAGATCCAGATCAGAATTTGGTGTGTGAGGGATCTTATGGGGAGTGCTAATTTTAAATTGTAAGTAAACTGTATATTCAACTGAAGTTTATTAAAGATATGGCAGATAAAAAATGAAGTAATTAAAATCACCATCACTGTGGCCTGTTTTTCTCTCTCTTAGGTTCAGTGTTCACCTGTCTGACTGTGGTCCTGGGTTTCTATCGTATTTGGATGTGAACAGTTATCAGTAAAGAGTTAAATGTGCCAAAAGCCGGGTGCACAGTATTCATGTTGGCCCTATCACTGGGCCCTGCGGTTGGTGCCATTAATCTACTGGGTCCTACAACAGGAAACTCCATTCTCTTGCCCTGCCCTTACGGTGTTTACTCTTCCTGTGAGCTGCCTTCAACTTCACGCTAGCAGAAAGATTGTAATTAAGACTTGTGACCTGTGGTAACACGTGAACTTTCATCATTTAGAGACCAATTCTCAGTCATGTCTGATCTGATTTCATTGGATTTTGTTCCTCAGTGTGTATTTACTACTGCAATCTTATTCCTTTACCATCATTTTCTGAAAGAATGATAAACGGAGAAATTATTCAAGCACTTAAGATTTCAATCTGGTTTTGATCAAATGCAAATGTGATTCTGTAATTATTAACACCCCCAGCAAATTGCTGATAATTAATAAATTGCCGTTTTACGTGCCCATTGCTATGTTTGGCTGCTAGGACACTGTCGATAAATGTACTTAAGACTTTTTGACAGTTCGGGTATGTTGCTGCACTAGAGAGCGATTAGGGAAGTCCACTCCAGATTGTCTGTAAATAATCAGGTTACTGTTTTAAGTTAAAGTTCGGGTTTTTTCATTTTATGTTTCATAAATATTTTATGGCTTATATATACTGTGTATATAAATTGGGCTGAAACTCAAGAACGGCATACAACTCTATTACTTCACTACATCATCACAGATACTTTCTCCATCTAGTGTGTTGTTTCAAAATGTTTTAACGAGAGCTTGGACTGATATTATTTAAATATAATAAATTGTCAATAAACAAATACCATGTACTAACAAGTTGTTTCTGTTCATGATGATTTTGTAGCAGTAGGCTGCTGTTGTTGGGAGTTGGTCATGCTTATGTTGCTGTACTTTTTAAACGTTAAACGATTTTCTTCTGGGTTTTGAGGTGTATTGATAACTCTTAGAATAATGATGATATTTAATGCATATAATATACATTCTGAAACCGAGTCATTCTGCATGAGTACTGTTAGGTATTTTTAGTCAGATAGATATTGGTTAAATACTTGATGTATTAGAAATGTTTAGAGTAGACAGGATGTCTAGCTCAGGCTGTTAAATGCTTAGTCATTCTTATGAGTTACTGCAGGTTGCTTATGGTCAAGGATAACTAAATAGAAAGTTGATGACTGTTAGAAGACAGGATGTTTAATATTATTGTGGCGACCCTGACTGGCCGCCGATGTTCATGTGTTTTGTTGTGTGTAAATGGGTTTGACACTGTTGTTCGCATGTATTGGTTACCGTTGTTTCGGTGAAATACCCGCGCTGTTCTGTCCAATGTGGGGTTTGGGGAGGAACCAGTACGGGAGAGTATAAGAGGGGTAACAGGTGGGTGTGTCAGGGTGATCGCAGTTGGCGCGGAACATGGAATGCCCTGAGGGAGTGTTGCTACTGCTTTCTTTTTCTGCTATTTTCTTTTTCCTGTGAGCACGCGGTGCCAGGTATATCGCAGTTTCATTTTGCATTCTTATTTTGTTCAATAAAAGCCAAGAAAAGACAGAGAAGGTGTTCTCCTCGATGTCAGCCTAGGTGCCAGCACACAGCTGGATAGTTAGATGTCACAGTTAGGATAGGGTCAGGACAGCTCCGCTCATCCGAACCAATGTGGCGCTCCATTGGTGTCAGAAGTGGGATTGCGCGCTCGTTGAATGGCAACATGGAGAGGAGTCTGGCCGAATTAGAAAGGGAAATAGAGGAGAACACCCTCCAGCTGGGATGGCTGGAGAGAGGGCTACGCCGGGAGCCAAGGACTGGCGGTCGCCCAGACGGCGCGAGCGTGCCACGGCTTGCCCAACAGAGAGCCAACTGCCACATGTTGGACTTGTCTGTGGCCAGGGCAGTGCTGAACTCCGGGGGTGAGTCGCTCCTGCCACCGAGGTCAGAACTAAAGCTGCCCAGGTATGGAGGACTGACCCCTGGAGGGCGACGCACTGCAGGTCCT